CCTCTTACTTCTCCAGCATCCATAGTTGTTGCAGTAGGGAATATCAGAAGGTATTATCCCTGGCCCAGTCCTGGTAAATTATCCAGACTCCCCAGGAATGTGTCAATACTGATACTGTTCACTTCATAACCCCATGGAGCAGCAAGCTCCAGAGGCTTAAACCTGACGTGTAAAGAAATAATTTAGCCACTAATGCATCCATGTTTGTTTACTGGTTTTGAATACTACCTGTTTCTTATATTGCACCACTTGCTGAACAATTCCACATCCAGCTTATTCAGTGTTTTTCTGATTTTGTAACCTTTGATTGAATATACGCCTCAGCCCTCTCCTCTTCAAACTGAAGCAACCCTGACTTCTGATTTTTTTCCTTTTTAAGGCAGCTACTCTATCCCCTGCTGCATGAATTACTCTTCTTTGTATCATATCTAATTCATTAGCTCATTTTGGAGATGTAGACTCTAAAACTTTACTCAATATTCAAAAAATGGGCACTCTAAGGTTTTGTATGGTGACAAAACATCATCTGTCTTATTCACAATATCCTTGCTGGTGATGTGGTGATGATGAGATATCATTAGCTTTTTTGAAAATTGCTTGTGCTGAGCCAATGATTTCAGGGAACTGCCAATGATGACTCCAGGACTTTCTTTCCTACATTGTGTGAAGAAGATTTAGAATACTTTTACCCAGATTTTTTTTTAAATATTTAAAGCTTTTCTACCCCTTGTTTGCCTGTCCACTCTGTCTTATGAGTTCTTTTGGAAGTCCTTTCCTTGGCATAGCATTTGGCTACCCATTAGCACTGCTCATGAACTTCTGTTCAGTATGAAATGAAACAGAGAAGAGACATATTTCTCATATTTGCATAAATCTACAAAACAATTTTCAGTTGATTCTTATTGTGTTAGGTAGTGTTTATTGTGCCATCACAAGGTAAACCTTTGCCAAAGAAATATCACTTTTCACACAATATCATTAAAAAGAATAGGACTGTTAGAGAGGTGTTATGCTTGGGTTTTTAATTTATATTTTAAGGAGGTTACTCAATAATCTAAGTAGGATTTCAAGAAATGAAAGTATAAAGAGTTCAAATTAATTCAGGCTATTCTGTATATACTTCAATCAGTGAAGAACTCAACTTCTTTAGTATTTTAAAATCTGACAATAAACCACTGTCCAGAGATATGATGTACTTCAGGAATTCAGTTTTTCAAGAGAATAGATAATAATAAACTTAACTCTTTTCCAATGAAGACATAATTTTCTCAGCATGCCCTCTCCCCCAAATACATCAGTAGAAAAATAATACAAATGGTAGAAGACCAGAATTACATCTCCAAGTAACAAATCTCACAACCAGTGACAGTTTCTGAACTGTATGTCAAACCAAACTCCAAGAATGTCACAATCACTAGTAATTCTGAAAGTCAGCTATCTAATCCATTAAATCCTTCAGGTCAACTTCAGCTACTTTTGTGTCCTGAAAAAAATATAAAAGGCTGTTTTCAGTATAAACATTATTTTCTTGGGAAGTATTTCTTGCAGCCTTGCTGAAAATATTTCTAGGAATAACAGTCTTTTAAGTGCTCTATTTATTGTTTCCCTTTACAAAGTCAACTATTTCCCATTAAAAATTTTCCAAAAAATCTTAACCAGATCCATATAGCAATACCCCCTTTTCAGGCAGCCCAAATCCTACCCTTTGCTCTTCTCAGTAAATACAACAAGTTTC